TAGGTGACATATACTAGGCTTACAGGAAGCAAACCACTTTGGCTCCAGAGGATGCCATGATCAAACGATAACTTTGAAAAAATTGAAATTGATAGAATTGCCACAATGTTATTGAAATGATAGCATGATCATTGTATTCAAAATAATAGCATTATCACTATGTTAATGACATGATAGCATTATCACTTTGTAATTTTGGAATGATAGTATTATCACTCTGTAATTTTGAAATGATAGCATTATCACTTTGTAATTTTGAAATGATAGAATGATCATAATATTAAAAAGAAGGCATGTAATTGAAATGATATCACTATAATTGTATTCAAAATGATAGCATTATTACTATGTAAATGAAAAGGTAGCATTATCTTAGTATTTAAAATGATAGCATTATCATTTATGTATACAAAATAATAGCATTATGTAAATGACAAAGTAGCATGATAGCACTAACTAACACTATAAGTAATTAAACTGAGTTGATTTTGATCTCAAGTCTGAAGTAGGCCAAGTTTGGATATGGATGGTTGCTGGTATGTCAAATGGTAGTAAACAACAAATAGTATCTATTGTTATAAATAAGTCACTGTTTGTTTACAGAAGTTATTTTGACTGTTAGTAAAGAGATGGTAGTTGATAAATAGTGCCATCTTGTCATCATTAATAACTATATACTAGTTTTACTACTGAATTAAAGGGACACAGCCATCGAGATTATATCTTACTGCAGTTCGGAAGACCAAACCAAACCAAACCAAACCAAACCAAATCAAACCCAAATCAAATCAAATCAAATCAAATCAAATCAAATCAAATCAAAAGATCAAGTTCATTGGTCATTTCAGTTAGTTCTCACATTTGGCTAATAAAAATATAGTCCAAAAAGTATAAACGAATCTCCATTTCCAATGTCCTGATGAGGATTTATATCTGAAACATGTCTACAGTGAGCTGATCTCTTCTAATGAGCAGCCATTTATGACCAGATATTGAATTTTAATACAGAAAGTATCCACTGTTGATGGAACTTTTTTACGAGGTATCTATCCCTTCAAACCCTGTAGAGTTCAGTGCCAACTTCTAGTTTAGAAATCTGTTAAATCTATTAGCTTTATTTATCAGACTTATTTTTCTACAATCACCAGTTAATAGATATAGTGACTGTTGAGCTGCAATTATCCTGAATTATCATTTCAAATATTATGTATGTATGTAGTCGTTACTTTCCACAATGTAATATTGATCAAAGAGTTAGTCTTTTGAGCACCTTATTGAAACTCTGTACAAGCAAGACAATGCCGTCAATCATAAATCTCATCCGAAGAAAATTAGGCAAAATTAGGAGTATAAGTTGTTCAGTTCAGAGACATCTTTGGAAATGAAATGAACATGAAATGAATGGAGTTTTACGTCCTACTTTTCTGCCCCATGTGGGCTAATGAGGGAAATTTTTCCAGGACAGCTCTTTTTCGATTTCCAACTGTCGAGGGATCTTTAACGTGTACAACCTGTAGCACACAGAAAAATCTGAGGTACTATCTCAGGATTGAACCCTGGACGTTCAGATTATCTAGCAACTCACTGAGCCACCGCAGCTCCCAGAGGCATCTTTAGAGCATAGCCAAAATCCCAAGGGTTCTCGCATGGATATCTTCATCAAAATTGTGAAATTATTAAAGCAGACTGCAAGCTAATTAAACACTTGTTTGTCAATATTTCTCAACAATCTAAATCTATATATATATATCAACCCAATTGATTTTGTATAGTTAGTGATTCTTCTAGTTAGTACAGTAATGTACATCAACATCAATAATTGATTAATTTATATGATAAACAATATTAACAGTATTAACTAGATATGTTTTTCTAGATAATTCCTATTCTAGTCTGTAATCCACTAAGGAATATACTCGGATTGAGAGGCCAGGTTTAAAACTTGTTGCTAGATGTTATTACGTTTATCAAATGAAATTTAGATACAACTCTGTTTGTGAATTTGATTTCAAATTATATGGTTTATTTCAAAGGTGCATTGGGCAAGATTGACCTGATGTACTCCATTATTTCATTTGACCCAGCTGTAAAAGGTACAGATAATCTATGCCAAGAGGTTTGCCCAAGGACCAGTTGGTAGAAAGGATCCATGTGAACCTAAGTTGTTATCCTTGTAAAACATCTCCCCTTTTATTGCCTTGTTTAACAGTTCTGTCAAACAGTTCATTATTTTAGCAGTTATGATCTGATACTAAGACAAAAACAGACCAACCACTGTGATTACATTAGTTGTTAATTAGAGAATAGTTTCTCATTAGGTCATTAGATTAATTACTCCTGTAGAATGAGTGCACAAAAGTAATATATAGTAACCTATATTGGTTGGTTTACTTTCGTGTGTACCAATTTCTATCATTGTTTTACAACAGTAAAAATATTGATTTTAAGTAGCAATAGTTTGAAGAGAAATGTAGGTTGATTGAATCTGCCTTCCTAACAAGCACTGGAATTTTATGTTCTCCTTTGCCCTGCTTTTTAGTCTTATGAAGACAGTCATTGATACCGGTATCATTTGCTGCTATTTAGATTGTGCCAGGATAGAAAGAATTCCACATGCATTCTGTAGCTGGAAGGGCCTGGGTTTATCAGCTACACCAACAGGGGAAAAATTTCACTTTTTGATAAGCTTAATGAAAAATTGTGCTTTTTGGCATTGTCAAATTTTTGCGATTTTGAAAAGGTTTACCCAATTTGTTAGATTTCAGCTGACTGGAGAATTAATTTGATGATAAATTCAGGGGTGATTGCTTCCAAACAGGAAAAATTAAGTGGCATTAGCTAATGATTAGAAATCCTAAGACATGGACTGATAATGACTGTTTTATAGTATGTGATATCAAACTAGAAACAATATAAACAACACAGTTAGATACTCCTTCAACACTATCATTAGACTTCTATTCTGATCATAGTTTATATCTCTACCAAATAAACAAATTCCACCATTTCTATGGAATTTCACCCAGAATTGATAAATATAAACCACAATAGTATGGTTACTAGGTTACATGTATCAAGACTTATATAGATTGGTAAAGATAGTCACTTTAGACTTTTGGAATTTTCACTGAAACCAATTTGGCGTCTGCTTGATTTTCAATCAGTTGTTTTGTTAATATTTATTGGAATTAATCTTTTAAAATCTATCACCAAACTGGTTGACTGGATGATACTCTCTTGTGAATAAATTATCCCATTGCACAATTCCTAAGACGCTTATATTCTGTAGCCTAGAAAGATGCCTCATGATGGATCATTTCTGATATTCCTTGTCTAGAAAGATGCCTCAAATGCCTCATGATGGATCATTTCTGATATTCCTTGTCTAGAAAGATGCCTCAAATGCCTCATGATGGATCATTTCTGATATTCCTTGTCTAGAAAGATGCCTCAGGATGGATAATTTCTGATATTTCTTGTAAAAAAAGTAGGATATAGGAATATATTTTGTATTCAGTAAAATACTTTGCAGTCTCAAGCTTTGAACTTCATGTTTCAATATTGATAATTCCATTTCCTCATAAAAGCTGCTAATTTTAAGTAAATAAATGGAATCTATTGAAGTTATTGTAAGCACTCTATTGATTTGGCAGCATTCATTGAAATTTTTATTGATTCTTTTACAAGAATTAAAAAAGAATATCATTAAATTTTCTTTGCCAGAAACTGACTTCCTCTTCTAATCCGTGATTGATAGGAAACATTTATTTCAAGATGGTTCTAGAAACTAACTTAGTATTAAACCAGATATTGTCTGATGTAATTGATCGCAGCTCAAACTGTGTAGGTTGGTAAGAATTAAACCTGATTAATGAATTCTCAGGGGTTGTTGTGCCTCGTGGGTCCATTCTATTTCTTCCATTCTTTAATTAATATCTTATTTTCTGGAATTTGATAACCAAATCATTCTCTTTTTGTCAATAAAAGAAAAGAAAAGAAAAGAAAGAAACAACTTAGGTTCAGGAGAATCTTGTCTTACCAGCTGGTTCCTTGACAAAACCTCCTGTTATTATCAATATCCATTTATAAGGATGGGTGCGCCATTTTATGGGGTTGAAATTAGTCTTGAATATATCTAGATATTTAGTCTTCAGAAGTACTAAAAATGTATGAAGATCACAAAATTCCTTTAACAATACTTCAAACTAAGAATTTTACTCACCATTTCTTTATATGTCTTTTCTATATATCACAGAGTATAGTAAATTGACAACTCGTCATTTTAACATTCAATCGCAGATAATTCTAGGCACACATGGATTTGAAGGCTCAAATTTAAATGGTGAAATTTGAACCTATAACTGTTTGGCTTAGCAAAAAAAATCCTGTTTCTGAGACTAAAGTATGGTTGGACAAACAAAAATGGAACTGTCTCTTTAAGTTCATACAGTTATAATTGAAGATAAGGTCTCAATTAATAATACCTTTCTTTTCCTCTCTTGAAAAATTTCTCTTAAACTAAACTAAGAATTCATTATTTAAAAGTACAACAACATTTGGTGAATTCCTAGCACTCTATTTAAACATGCTATATTAAATTGATTTTCCAAACTTTTTGTTGAGACAACACATCAATTCTCTAAGACATTATAAACTATTTTCAGACAACAAAACACTTCTATTCTGTTAAATCAGAAAACAAATTTAACCTTTTGGAGACAATGGCAGATAATAAATTGTTAAACGTGTTCTGATCTGTATGCTTTAATGGCCGAGGATGAGGTAGCATTGCTGCAAATACAAATCAGTATAAATTGTGGCCGCTTGTGATGAAAAAGTTATTAATTCATTTCGATAATACATGTATGTTTGGTGTTTAAAACTTTTTTCTGACTTTGTTTTCTTGCGGATATTAAGGATAAATGTGAACTGAATGGAATTAAGATAGAATATTCTAGTTCATCCGATATCTAATAATATGATTTATATTTATATTTCAGGTGTTAGATTAGATCGTGTACGAGGTGGACGACAGAAATATAAACGTGGAATAGATTGTCAACCAGTCTTACAACCCATTTATCAAATTAAAAAACCATGTATTGAATGTAAGTACCATCTATTTCTACTATTCTCTCAGAGAACAAGTAAGAGAGGTGTATTTGAGAGTTGTGCATTGTTACTCAAATTTATCTGAAACCAGACAAGATTTTTTTTCGCTTTTAAGCTTTCTACAACGCCAAAATCCCATTTCTCTGTCGGTTCTGTTTTTTCTGAAACGATCGAAACAGTTTTTTCCATGTCCGTTCTGTTTTTCTCCGCATTTAACATAGAAGTAATAATATAGTTCAATTGCACTTAAAAATTGACAATGATGTGATTGGTAGGATACCACATATCGTCCAATGAGGGTTTCTTATATATTTCTCAGTCATATCCGGTTTCAACAAGAGTCAACCCATTTTTTTACCCCACTCATTTCAGCTTTTTTTTTTCACCCACAATCATGTCTGTGAAACTCAGACTGACAGAATATTTTGATGACTTGTGACAAAAGAGGTTTTAGATCTTTACACACAATACTTATTGTAATTTTAGAATAATTTAGCTTCTGGCATAGGTCATCACTGATGGCTAAAGAATCTAAGGAATTCTCATACTCCTTACAAAGTTTTGGACACAAAATTCTCAGCTGGTAACATCTAGGTTGCAAATGAGGATTTCACTTCAATGTTTAACCTTGACTTTGAGCAATGTTATCAGAGGTCATTTTGTTATTTCAAAACTGCTAAGCAATTATCAAATTTGACACTTGTTTCCATGACAGTATTATCACTCCAGTATCAAAATTTAACAACTAATTAATAAATAATAAGGTTTACACGAATTTTGTCCAAAAACAACAATTTTATGAAGAAAAGATGACAAAAAAAGATTAGTTTTTAATGAATTTCGTAAGATATATTTTCAGTTTGGCTGTGAAAAGCAAAGCTTAGTGGTTTATTAGTTTATCATAATTATTTAAAACTTAATAAGGTGACTAAAATTAACACCGAAAACGTTATTTTTTATTAGGATAGGTGTTAATTAAGGTTCCACGATTTTAACCTTTGTAAAACTCAAACCCAAGTTGGTTTATTAATTGGTATTGACTTCAATATTGTGTTAGTCTTGGTTCATATTTTGGACACACAATCTTTATCAGGACAGCTTTATCAGAAATGTGGGCTTTTACTCTACAAAATTGGACTGTAGGTGAATGAGCAAAGTAATGACACTCATTGACCAGGAGTAAAAAATTGATGATGTGAATATTCTACAGTAGGAAGACCCTCGATTCGTATATAATTGTCAATGACAAGAGCTTAGAGACCGATCAATAAATAAAACTGTTTTGTGTATTATTGTAATTAGGCCTGATTAACGATGTACAGCTATTCAATTAATCATCAACTAATTATTAGTTGACTTAATACTAGACATGGATGACTAACTCATTGGCAGAATGGTATCAGGTTTTTTGGTCAGGAAGAATAGAATGCCTTACCAGCATCACCTATTACAATAATATTTTTGTGGAGTTCAAAATTCAATTAAATTTTTATGATAATTGATTCTTGTCCACCTACAGAGTCACTGTTTTAAAAGATATTTTCAATGCTTTGGCCATTGTCAGACCGCTTAAAATCAGCCACCAAACAAGATGATCTACTATTCCCACTGATATTCACTAATGATTTTCAATTTATAGTAGATTAAAAACATGTTACATAGAACTTTGATCGATTTCTGACTTAACCCTTTAAACATCAGCGACAAAATTTTGCAATACAAACCCAAGTGGCCCAAAGATGACAGAATGACTTCACTTACAGATAGAGTTAGTCACATGCTTCACATAGTGGAATTTTGAGTTCCACACACATTTACTTTATCAATCAACACTCAGTGCTCAAAGGGTTAAGTTCTGTTAGACAAAAAAAATTTCCTGCAATTATGCCATTAAATGACTTTTTTTTTCTGAAAGTTTTCTCATTTATAATTCATGGCAGAATGTGGAGTGGAAAATGTATCAAATACATAAAATAAAAAATGATTCTAAATTGGATGGCGAGTCAATGAGTTGTAATGATTGAAGTGAATGGCCTATTAATTATGCTGCCTTGAAATAGTCACAAATTAACACAATACCAAGCCTTAGGAAAATTTTAAGTTTTGAGGGCAAAGAGAGCTCAATAATTTTTCAGCTTTATCTGTATAGGAGTGCTCTGATTTTGGTTTTGAGCAAGGAAAGCTGAGTAATTTATGTATTCAAAACTTTCATATTTTCTGATTATAGATAATTGCATATATGTATAGTATGCATAAATATATATATATTCTGTTGCTGAAATGTACTGTTATTTGACTAAGTTTTTCATGAAATTAAGAACTTCAGGCATAAGTTCATGGAACAATGATCGATTCAGTATTGTAATTCACAATTGGACAATGGTTTTGATAATGTTCGACATTTAAACAGTATTCCCTGAAGGTCTGTTTCATTTGATTGTATCAGATAGTTACACCGTATTAAATGGTATAGTATAGTATACAGTACTAATGAAATCTACTAATAAAGTTTATTGGTATTTGAAATAGTAGGAGTAAGTAATATAATGACCTAGTACGTGTATTAAATCAATAATAACAATCGATATCTCAATCTTTATATAACTCAGTGTGGTGAAAATGTTTATGTATAGAAATTTCTTTCTATTTTAAAATGTATTCAGCGTGGGTTTATCTGTATTCATTGACTTGTAAATTGTCTCGCCACCTTGAAGTTAATGTTCAGAAACTAGTTTTATTTTATGTAATAAGGGCGGCCATTATACGCCTGTTTGTCCAATCACAAGCCATGTTACTTAAAGCAAAATTGGTTCATAGGAATTGGTTTTAGCTCAAATTCTCCCTTTCCAACAAATATTCTGTTATGTTTGCCAGGGACTAGCTCATAGGGGTCCATACTGAGTGCGTCCTGGGGCCATAATTACTAGTGCTTTTGGATTTGGATTTGGATGTCACGTTCCCTATTTCCCTTTATGATAATTTGAAAACACATCTAGTTTGTTTTGATTGAACAATAAATCTAGGTTCTGTGTGCTACAGATCGTGCTTATATTTAACTGACAGTTGGAAATGCATGGCATTGCCATTTCTTTTTCAATTTTTTGCTTGTTGAGGAGCAGAAAAGTTGGCCTTATGTCCCATTTCATTTCATGTCTTTCCATTTGTCTTGAGACTTTTAAATAAGAGAGAAAGTGTCTAATCATTTGCCTCATAAGCTTAAGCAACCTTGATATTTGATTCTCTTTGATGCTGCATTTTAGATAGCAGGAGATTTTCCTTGTTTGATTTCAGTTAGCGCTAGATATTCTGTGTATGGCTGGTTTATGTAAGGTGTAATAAAGAGAGTGGGTGGAGTAAAAATAGATGAAAGAGTTGTATAGAAGGAATCTTATTGACAATAAGAACCAGATACTGCCAAATTTCTCAGTTAACGAGGCCTGACTAATATAGACCAGTCTTCTGAGGTTGACTTTACTCAATTACTAGCTATATACTTAATTAACCATGGCATTTTGATGTTATACTTCTCTTGAATTGTTACTGATTTTTGGAATTTTCTACAGTACTTGTTACTAGTTCAAGTAATTGTTATTTGTTATCCTTGCTAGAAATTGTTAGCTATTTTTACTTAATATACCATGGTATTTTGATGTTAGACTTCATAAATATGGATGGTTACTGATCTTTGGAAATCTGCTTGTAAATGGTTTAAGTAAATGGATATCCCGAAGAGTAAAATATGTTATGAATCAAAGCACTTGTTATCCTGGACACAGTTGAAAGTAATTGTTATCCCAGCTGTAAATGGTTAGCATGCCAGTAATTGTTATCTTGACCAGTATATTAATTGTTAGGATTTCCATAAAGTCCTTAGTTGTTGAAATAATTGTCCATAAGTTGCTAGGTTTAGTATTTATCCTTGCCATTTAAAGCTGGTTTTAAGAAATTGTTATCTTTAACACTAGTTTTATGTTTAAGTAATTGTTTTACTTTGCATAATCTTATGAAATTAATTGTTATGGAATTGTAAATAAATCTTTTGGTAGTAGTAGAGAATAGGAGACAGTTGATCACCTTCTGGTTTGCAGTGTAAAAGTAGAGTGTCTCAACTTTAAATACATAGGAATTCAGCACTGAAGTCCCAGCTTTCCTTCAGATTCAGTAAAATTGATTTGGGAACACAGGAACATGGTTGAATCATGGCCCAACGGGATGATTTGTAATCAAATCTGAACATTTAATGGACATCAATCAAGAGAATCATTCCCAATTGATCGTTAAGAAACAGTTGTGCTATTTTCAAATAGTATTTCGCAATATACAATATTGATATAATAAAGCTTGTTAAGTATAAAACAATGATTCTATGGGTATTTTTATACACTTAATAGAATGAATATAAATGTAAACTGTTCCGATTATTTCTGTCTAATATGATGAAATGTCCTAGTTATTTTACATTTATTCAAAGCTGTCATATAAAATATGGATGGTAACAAGTACAATATAGAGGAGTTGACAGTTATTGTTTTTAGCACGATTAACCTTTGAAAATTTATTCATCAATTAACAAGTGTTTTTTTCCCCTGCTTTGACTTGTGTATTTAAGTATCATATCTGTTTCATAGCATAACATTCCTAGTTCCAACCTGTGACCTTTAACCTGCTGACCTCTGACCTGACTATAGGTTCTTTAGTTAAGGAGGTAATTAATTACTTGATAAAATATTGATGATTCATTATTGGTTTTTTGTCATGTTCTTTTTCTGTCTAGCTTTGCATAAAAGTATAGCAGGTCTTTCGAGTAGAAAACTAGATGTGCTTTTCCACGTCATCACTTGATTGTGTTGCAAGCCAATTCTTTAGAAAATAAACTCTTTTTGAACACTGAGGTCTCAGTTCCTATGTCCTGAATTGCCTGAAATTTGTTGAAAATTTGCACATCTGCACAAGTTGCGTGGCTAT